CCATGACACGAGGACTGAGTCGCGGAAGCCGCACGGACGAGAAGAGCTCGGAAGGTCAAGTGGTGATCTGACGAAGTGGAGACACAACCAGGTTGGACCTACCCTAGTCTATTAAAATTGTTTTATGGGCCCTAAGTACCTATATATGTAGTGAATTGTTCATGTATGTTTATGTTCTTAGTGTCTACCTATAACCATCGTTTCTACTGGGTTATCAACAGGTCGAACGATGGTCGACCTTCATATGTCCATGAACCCCGCGACCGTTCACGGGTAGTCGGTGTAGTCGGTGTAGCTGTTCTGCAACTCTTCCCAGGTGTCATGGTTTCGGATGTGGCCATCTCCAAAAGAATGCCAAACGTGCCAAAACAGGTGGTGTGGTTCGGCGAAGGGAGGCTGTCTATAAACCATCCCCCAAATATACATGTTCATTTACCAGCTGTTTTGAACATCTCCAAATCAGACCAAGAACTGAAAACGGACATGCGTAAAACGTTGCGCCTACTCTCAACACCTGCAGTACCAACACAGGTTGTACCCTAGTAGGGTCCTTTTTCAGGTCACTTAACCTCTCTTGGGACAGGGTTCTTTCTTCAGGAGTAAATTCCTCGCTGAAAACTCCAAGCCGCAGCAGGCCTGGGAGCTCTTCGGCCGATCCATTCGTAGAGGGAGCTGATGGAACATCAATTATAGTTATATATATACTAGAAGAATCTAGGGTATATGATGGATCAATATTGCTAGCTAATCATTAATCTAATCACAAAAAATATGTTGTTTAAACACAATATATACTTAACTTATATGTGTATATATATATCATATTTTTTTCTTAACTGGTCTTGCATTTTCACAACACTGTTCTAAGAATTGGCATTCCATGACACACGACATGTTAAACTGAGACCATGCAACGCAAAATTGCAGGGTCAAAGACCTGTTGAAGATGCCGCGCGGTCAGAAGCCAAGCAAGAGCATGCAGGCAGGGAACCAAGAAGCTGAGAGGATAGGGCACCGAGAAGCTGAGAGGACATGATCGACTTCCGTTGGCTATAGAATGTGTGGGGATTCTCACTAATATACACCGATTTCACCCCAAAAACTAGGAGAGTACAATAGAGAACCTGAAAATGGAGTCTTGTAAGACTATTTTCCGCATGGGTTGCGTGTTCCTGTTTTGCTTTCGTTTGTATATATATATATACAATTGTTATCTTGCTGCCACTGCAGCTTGCTGTTGGAGTCAGCATCATCATCATGTTCATTAGAATTATATAGATCCATGAGCTGAGCTTGTGTCACACGAAACCACAGATATTCACAATGGGAAGGTGGCCATGACGGGGGTGCCCAACATACAAGGGGTTGCGGGGTTCTAGCCTTACCAGGTGAATTGTAGTTGGACAGAGGGCACGGCTGGGAATTGTGAGCAAAATAGTTCAGGGAGTAGTTCACGGCTCTGTAAGCTTTGTGTTCACACACTGAATTTGTAGTTGCAGTCTTTGCAGGTACTCTGTACTTGTTTCGGATTCATTCGTTTCCAGGACCTTCTAGAGAATCTCCCTTATTCATATGTTAATTTGTTTTGGCCGTCCTTTTTGGTTGTCTAAGTCGAAGGGAGGGTACAATCAATCTCAGAAATGCTGCAACATTGGGCTTCTTGTCTTGGTGGAGAAAAATCCCCCAGGCGCCGATGAAGCAACTGCAGGGAAACCCAGCGACGGAGTATCCAAAGGAGACCCCTGGAAGACGCAGGGGCAGCCTGGACGACGAAGGGCAACTGTTGTCGAGCAACTGGAGATGAACATTCATGTAGAGTCTATCACATATTAGTTGGAAAGGATTTAGTGTTCAACGTTGGATTGCTTCTTGGGCTTGCTTTGAAGGTCCCAAGCGAAAAAGGACATGTTTCAAGGTTTAGGAAGCTCAGGGGCAGCTACTTGTAGTGCCGCTCCAGACAACCATGCACCCTTCCGGCCCTTCGAAGACGACCTGCAATCTATTGGACTTGACGGATCTTCCCAAAACCCTTCAACACTGATGGAATGTATTCTGCATGATAGTATTCATACTTTTGCTTATGATGTTTGTGTCTATTATAATGCATAGACAGTGATTCTTGGCGCATTCCAGACCACCCACAGCCATTGCAGAAAAGTCATATTTTCCAATTCCATGTTTGTTGGATAGAGAGTGATGGTGACAAATGATATGGATGTTCACCACTGGCATTCATACAAAAAATAATACGTGTAGCTTCACCGGACGGGGAGCATTTCGAGGTGCCTTGAAGCGGGGAGGCCAGATGGGAATTTGGCAGCCTGACCTTTGGTTGAAGGAGGAGGTCTCAAAGTCTTAGATATCAAGTTTTAAGATCGTATTAGATTCTTGATTCTTCTCCAATTCTTCACACTTTAGAAAAGTACTCCAGTGAGTTCAGAGCTGCAGCGCCAAGTTCCGTATCTGACGTAGGTAGCACAGATTGATGGGCCAGTGGGGCTTTGTCGCCTTCACATTTGATGGCCGAAATGTTTGCGGCTCCAAACGCTGTTTGTCGCGCAGGGCCGCGCGTGGCGCGGAACGTCTGCGCAATTCGACACTGGGATCCGTGGCGATCTTGGACTGCATGGAAATTCAGCGCTCTGCCCATGACAGGCCGTTGAGGCCCCAGAAACTTGCATATATATATAGTATGGTCGACATGCCCTTTCTGCCAATTTGAAGTTGAGGAAGAGCCTGGAAAACTCCACTGTGGGCGACATGAATGCCACGAGGTTTGCTGTCTCGAGGTGATGAGAGAATGCGGTGAAGACGAGATAGCTTGCCCAAGTTGCGAGCAGGAACAGCGAGCTTCGACAGGCCCGAACTTGCCCGGGGCTTTAATGGCCGCTGGTCGTCCAGTGCGCACATCAAGCAAGCCCGGCGCCGGCGGATATAGTATGGAGGCCATCGCTATTAGGTTGGAGGCCATCGCATTTACAGCATCGATGTCACAGGCTCATCGCCTTCGTCGCCGGGCTTGCACCGGTGCGGTCAACAGCCGCCCCTTGTAAGAATCGCAGAGGCGGAAGGTCGAAGGAGGATCAGGTTTGAGTTGTAACATGTATTTTCTGGACTTGATCACAGGAGAATGTCCTTCATCTCACTTGAAGAAAGACATAATCTCATGTTTCATCTCTTGTATCGGGACTGGAGGTGCATCAGGGCTTTGCTCGGTGGGGGGAGGCCGATGAATGGTTGAGATAGGGACTCCCTGTCAGACAGCTCCCGAACTTGACAGCCTGTGGGACTTCAAACATTTGTTGCAGGTTCGGCCACTTTCGCTTCTGGGGAGGTGATTTTAATGCGAAATCAGCCAGAGAGCTGGATCTCTGCGTGGGGAAAAGACACGATTCGCCGATGCATCCGTGTGGGGCCGTTGGCATGGGACGCATGCGGCTCATGGGACTGGCGGAAAGCCAAGTGCAGCAGAAAAACGAGCAAACAATGACTAATTTAAGGGAACGGATGAATCACAGTCAGATGTGAATCCAAAACCAATCTTGTCAAGATTATGGACCATGTATTTTGACCCGCCATTTTCTAATGGCCCGATGGCCCTTTCGTAAGTGGCAGGATGTTGTCCAGAGACGAGGTTTGCTCCGGGTTTTCGGCGAAGGCCACAGAGGATTCCCAGACTTGGTTCCTAAGGGCACATGGTATCAACAACAATGGTGCAACCCCCTAGTAGCGTTCTTGTTCCTAGTAGCGATGCCGGGAGCCCCTAGTAGCGTTCTTGCTCCTAGTACTGTAGCAACAATGGTGCAACCCCTTCTAGAGATGGTTTACGGCGGAGATCGGAACCGGACATTTGTTCGTTCACGGGGACGGCGGGTCGTCAAATTGGTTCAGAAGTGCACCTGGTTCCAGTGCCATCACGCATTGAACTGCAGATTAGTCTTTCAATGGTCTTCTTTGGGGCCAAGCAGAAGAGGTTTGTCAACTTTGGTGTTTGGCGCTTGACAAAGACATAACCTGACACAAAAGACTATTAAGGACACATATATAGAACTAGTGCCACTCCCTCTTACACGAAGGTTGGAAACACTTCTTCTGACTTCTGGTAGGCAGGTGGATCCACCTGTTGATGTACATTCGGGGGCCATGTGTACGTAAATTATCAGGGAACACCTGGTTTAGCATTCCGCACCAGTTCAATTTCACTGCATGGGTATGTCACGTGGGGGGATCGAACTTTTTTCAGGGCATTGTCCCTTGACGTTTGACCACTTGCCCAACCCGGGGAATCTCTCAAAAGCAAGCCTTCCACACATCCACAATTGTAGTGAATGAATACCCGTAAGCATGTTTTGTTTAATCTTACAACAAATGACAAAAACGAACATGTTGGTTGATTTTGAGGTTGGTTCTAGCTGTAAGCATATCTTGAGTTGTCCCGTGAAACAGCAAAGCCTTGCGGCTTTGCCTTTCCACACATCCGTCCGTCCGCTGCCGGTCAAGCCGCCGACGAGGCGCGGACGCGGTAGGTCAGTGAGGAACATGGTCAACCCGAATCATGTAGTATTATCATGCAGGGTATGTTCATGTCCCATTTAACATCACTTGTATTGGATAGAGAGACGAAAACCATCGAACACCTCTCCACTGGTTCGGGGGAGAGTCCTCTCTGTTGGAGGGGTCAAAAGCCCCTAGTACAAGCGCACGTTTTGTGGTAGCGCAACACTGCAAGATTGCTCGGGTTGAAGGAGTCCCGACCAAATAAGCATGATGTTTGATTCACACATAAGCATAGTCACTTGAGATGTATTGCAAATGGCTGGCCCGCGAGGAACCACACTGTGTAGACGCACCGTGTACAACTCCTTGCTTTCGGAGACTGTGTTTCAACAAGCAAGACATCCACCTCCAAGCGTTCATAACCTCATTATCATCGAGTATGTTACAGTATGTTGTTCTTGCTGTGATTCAATCAATTGGATGCATGTCAAGGGTATTCAAGAATTTGGATCATCTCAATACTGATGGCAGCCGTGCAGTTCGAGTACATATTGTTTCAATGAATCTTTCAAGGTCAAAGGCCCGGCAGCTTCACCGTTCAAAGACTGACGTCGCTATCAGCTCCAGCCGCCAAGCTTCGGTGAAAACCTTCAGCACCGCCGAAAATGTCGGTCCAGAGGGGCCGAGGACGGGAACCGATGGGCCCAGGGGCGACGGTGGACACCGCGAGGAACGAAGAAGGGTTTGGTCGTGTCTGGTCCATAGTAACAAGGACGCTACTAGGTGAAGGCAAAAGCTATTAGGTTGGAGGCCATCGCTTCTAGTAACAAGAAGCTACTAGGGAGAAGAAAGAGTATGCCGTTTTCGGGAATCGCTTCGGTCAATCCTGGACAGTCGCGATCGCCATGGAATCACCATCACCTATTATTCCATGAAAGTTGGGGGTGGCAACAAGAGTCTCATGACCCAAGATATAGACATTATATAACTGAATGCCCCCCCTGAAGGCACTCTGGTGACTGTATGTAAATATTACAGTATACAGGGATACGGTATACTCCTCCCTGAGAAGTCTCAGCACAATTTGTTCAGACTCTGCGAAACATATCACAAACATGCCTGGGAGATTCAGCCGTTTTCTTTTTCGACTCCTCTTCGGCACCTGCCTACCGCTGCTTGGGGGCTTCAGCCACGCCGTACCTCCGTCACTCAGCCGCGACGCTCCGAGGTGGGACGAAGGGCGATGGGTTTTCGTCGAGGACCATGAGGATCCATGTTCCTAGTAGCGATGCCCTTTGTTACTATAGTAGCATTCTTGTTCCTAGTAGCGAT